GCCGCAGGCCTCAGGCAGGGTGGGCAGGTTTTGTCCTCCCCAGGCCAGGACTGCCCCACAGCTGCGTTTTCCGGCACTGGCCCCTGTGGCTGTGACAAATGGTGGGAAGGGTCCTCTGTCCCTCTGAGGTGGCGAGCTGGCGAGGCATGGTTTGGGACACCCAGCCTCCTGGTTCCCAGGATTGGAGCTGGGGCAGACACGGCTGAGTTGGGGGCCCGTACCTCTCGCCCCGCCAGGGGACCAGAACGTGGGCAAGTGGACCCAGCTCTCAACAGCTTGAGCTGAGGGCATTTCTCTTCCACTCTAAGCCCTGGGTGTTTCTTATTCACTAACATCTATTGAGCACCTCCTGTGTGCCCCGACCTGTGCTAAATAAACACTTTGCAGTCAAGCCCTCGTTTAATCTCCACAGTGACCATTTGAGGGGAGCAGTCCTTGCACCCTCGTTTTACACGGGCTTTAGAACCAGTTCAAATCTAGGCTTCACCCAGTAATCTGCAGACACTTGATAAAGTTTATTATATGCCAAGCCTTGTTCTAAGGGCTTGATATTCATGAACTCATTTAATCCTTGCAACAATTCTAAGAAATAGCGTCCTTCATTGTCCCCATTTTATGGATGTGTAAACTGTGGCGCAGAGAGGTTGAAATACTTGCCCAAGGTCACCAGCTTTATAAGTGGAGGAGCTGAGATTCTGGGTCCTGGGTCTGTGCTCTTCATGGCTGTATAGAGGAGGAGACACCTGGGGGGTGGCTGTGATATAGTGCGGCCCCAGGTAGGGGCACAGGTAGGAGTGTTACCTGTATGCATCCCCAGCGGCCAGCTCAGGACGTGAGCCACATACTGGGTCCGGACATTTCCCGTGAGTGAATAAATAGCCAGTGGCCCTCAGTCAGCCAAGCAGCGGCCTCTCCTGCTTGTCCCTTCTGGGTTTCAGGTTCCCAGGCAGTCAGCCAAAACAGGAAGAGGAAGTGCTGGTGGGGGGCGGGGAGGGGGGCTGGCAGGAGGTATTTGTGATGCTGGAGGGGTTGCGCTATTCAAGGTGTGGGCAGGCCTGGGGGCACGAGCAGGGTGCCCTTGGGACGAGCAGGGTGCCCTTGGGACGTGGCCTTGAACTCACCAGGCTGGTGACCTGCCCAGAGCCCTGGTGTCCGGTATCCTCACCCTCATGTACCAAGAATTCTCAGGCTTGGCTTTCAAACAGCCAGTGATCTTAAAAACAGTAGAAAGCCTGATGGCCCTGCCCCAAATTTACATGAGCTTGAAACATTTTGTAAACTTCAGGGCTAAAAAGTATGTACAGTCTCAGTTCTGGGAATTCTTAGGCTAAAGTCTGTGAGTGAAGGGGGCGAGGGTGGGGGTGTCTGTGAAGTGAATCAGGTTGGACTTGTCTAAAAAGTCCAGTGAATACACACACCTGGATGTTTGGAGGAGCGTGGCCACCCCCTTTACGAGATTCCTATAAGGGTCTGACCCCAAATCCCTTCGAGCTGTGACCTTTTTCTCCCCACACCCCCTTGTTTGACAGAGAAGGCCTAGGAGGTCCATAGCGGAGGGTCTTGACCAAGGTCACACACTGAGCAGGGTGGGTCTGGAGCCAGAGTCAAGGACTGAGGATTAGTCCCAGGTGTTTTCCCAGCCCTAGGATAGCTCTCTGGCAGATGGGTAGAAACCCCAGAAGGGCTTCATGTCGAGATGATTAGGGATGAAGTTTCTAAACCAAGTAATAATTATCGAGGGCTTCCTTTCTGCCAGGCACTGCGTGTTTTACGTGGATTAACTCATTTAATCCTCACAACAACCCGGTAAGGCATGTACCCATTTTACAGATGGGGAAGCTGGGGCACAGGAAGAAGTCACTTACCAGAGTCACACCACCTGTAAAGAACAGACAGCCAGGGTTTGAAACCACGCAGCCTGGCACCAGAGCCTGTGCCCCTAATCACTGCCCCATATGCCTTTCCAGGCCTCGTGAAGGGTGCAGGGGACAAGACATGAAAGGGTTTCTTGGGCGCACACCC